AAGTGTCTTAAAATGAAATAAAAGACCTGTGGGAGAAAAAAAATGTATATTATTAACCCCCCCCATCCCCAAATTAGACTTTCCCTCCTGATGTAGAAGTGGCCAATAAAACTAGTTTTTAGTATAGTGCTTCAGGTCAAGCACTCTGGATAGTGACATTAGAGTCTTGGAACAGAAGAAGCTAAGGCCACGTCAGCACTTGTGACAGGATTTGGAGAGGCTGTGAATTTACATCTTGGATAAAGCAGAATGAAATTAGAATAATTCACAGAAATGAATTATTGCTGTGCTGATGAAGCAGCTGTGAAGGAGCTTTGGGTAGTAGAGCGTAGATGAAAATGGGCTTTTTTTCCAGGTTTGCTGGACTGTATGAGGTGAGAGCTCTTTTTCTAACCGCTTGTCTAAAATCCTTTCAAAAACAAGGTATGCTTGCATTTCGTAATGCAGATTTGATTTAAAACTTCTTGGAATTAAGCTTAAAGCTTTGTGTGTCAGGATGACCATCTCGTAATGAGGTCAGGACCCCTCCGTGTTCTAAGCTGTGTCCTGCCAGGGGAGATGGCAGTGATGTTGACAGTTAATATAATCATGGACTGTTTTTATGTAATACTATGTAGCTGTAACTTTATTTTTCTTCATAGAGCAGTAGGAAGTTACAGATGAGATCAGACAGAGCAGATACAGGAGCTGAAGCGGGTCAGTGGAATGAGGGGTTATCATTGCAGTAAGAGTTGTTTTGAGCTTTAATTTCACAGCTTGTTGAAAAATGTTGTTCCAGGCTTGGGATATAGGCTGGGAATTTCATAGCTTATATAAATATTCCACTAGACATGGGAAAAAAATAGGCTTGAGAATTGTAACAGCTCCTTATTTGAGGTACATGACAAACGATTAATCATGCAGAAGTCCTTGTGTGATGGATTAGGATAAGAAGAGGAGTCTGTACAGAGAGGTGGGTGATGCCATTAATCAACAACAAAAGAGCTGTCTTAGTGTTGGAAAGGGGTCACAATCCCGCAGTGGTCGCGGAGGCTTTGCTGGGAGTTGGGCAGAGCTTCTCAAGAGGAAAGGAGTAATGATCCCAAAGAGCTGGGAAGGAATCATTGCAGAGCGGGATTGACACCCCGTGGTGCACAGGAGACAACAACTAAGCCTGGAGAGGATAAATACTGATGTTGAATTCGCCTTTCTACTGAAATCGCTGCTTTGACTTATTTTACTATTTTTTTCCAGTACTTTTGAGAGCTTATTCCTTTATCTAGGGTAGCTTGTGAGCCCGACTAATAAGGCAAGGGGAGTTTGGCCAAATATAGCCCAAATTAACAACTGAACATTCCCATCTCCACGTCAGTGCAGAATGTCTGATTTTGCCATTACGCTGTTCTTCATTAGAAGAGCAGGTGCAGCCGTGGCAAAATAACCGTAACTTTTGGCAGAGTAGCTCTGGATGAGCTGCTTGTAGTTGGGATATTGTAGAGCTGGATATTATCAGATCCCAGAACTTGCAATATCCTTGGTCTACTCGGTTTGTTTCACCTAGATTTTAATAGGTGAGGAAGAGAGGGCTTTGAAACACGCGTTCTTGCCTTTTCTCCTGCTAATCCTTGATACACAGGCAGCAGTTGAAATGCCTGGATTGTCCCTGACATTTAATTTGTGTGAACACAAGAGCAGATTCATGTTGCAAACACAGTTTCTCTTGAAAGTTTTTTTTCTGTTCTCTCTCTCTTGCTTTTATTTTTTATGACTATGGGAGATTACTGCTCCCAGTGAATCGCCACTTGGCTCCGTAGAGCTTTCCAAATACTTTGTGGCAAGTAGAGCCATTCCTGTATCCCACGCTAATGTCATCACTTGTTTTCTTAGCAAAATTCCTGTATTTGGTCAGCTGAAAGGTGGAACTTTCTGTCATTATTTGGTTGCTGGGTGCTTCAGACCATGTGGAAAACACGGCTGATGGATGCATTCCTTAAAATGAGACCTCTGCTTGAGTTCAAGCTATGTTAATGCCTTTTTTTTCCACATAATTTTGCATAACATTTGAATAAAATTGCATTATGAGCTTTAAAAGCCTTGAAGGGCTGTCAGGAGATCACTAGATTCATTGTTTCATCAGTTTGTGTACTTGCATGAAGAAAACATTTAATCTGAGACATTGGCTCAGATAGTTGTTTTGCAGAGTAAATCCCATTGGAGACTGGAGCGTTTAGCTTCTTAAAACATATTGAAGACTGATGCACGAATATCGGCCTTTTTTCTTAATCAGAACATCTGTGGCATCTGTTTTTTGGTTTTGTTTTCCTCTGGACTGTATACTGCTAAATTCCTGCCTACTTATCTTGCACGGCTTACAGCTGTTGTGAGTAACCCAACTTCCTGCTAATAATGCCCTGGAAAGGAGTATTTTTAATGTATTGTTAAGTCTCTTTGACCACAGCACTGATGAATTTGTGTGTTTTCTTTTAGTTCCAGATTAAGGCTCTAAATTCTACAAGTTTATAAATAGAGTAATAAACCTGCTTAAGCACTTGTGTACTTCTGGAGTATAGCTTAAGCTTTTCAGCATTTATTCCTTGTAATATTGTTTTTATATTTGGACAAAACTGGGATTTTCTTGCCTTTGAGGATTAAGTTGCATTTTTACATAAATAGAGGAACAATGTGATTAAGCTAAAACAAGCTTAGGTCAACCTTCAAAGGATGCATTTCCTTAAATATCATCATTTGGTCACATAATTTTTTCCGTGTATTAGCGGTAACTTTTGATCTTTGCAGTTGGAAACTGCACAAATATCTTAGTTACCTCTCAGCAAGTTTAACAAAATCATTTATATGGATTTTATTTCCCTTTTGGTGTGACTTTTCACGTAATATTCAAAGAATCGTTCTGGGTGGCTTAATGTTCATTTGCTTTCTCAGAAATGCTGTCCCAGACTCAATTTTAGGGATTCCCAGAGTAATTTTGCTGATACTAAAATTCTTCCTATTTTCCCTACGAAGAGCCCCCCAGAACTTGCCGAGTACCTGGGATGTGTCTGGGGGAAACCCTGGATTTGTTTTGTGCCTTGAAACCCAAAGGGGTTAATGCAAAACTGATACTCAGAGCACTCAGCCCCAGGTGCTCAGAATGAGGATGTTGCAGCTTGAGAGCTGGAATATTTAGCGTATATAATTTAATTTTCGCATTTACTTACTTATTGAACCACCAGCATGTCATTGGAGGAGCAATCAAACAAGTTACATAAATAAATGAGTTGTATGTGTGCAGCTTGTTTAATTTGATGTGTTTGGCTATTTCAGCTTTTTTCTTTTTTCCTTCAAGCTCTGGTAACTGCCATCTCCTATAAAACTGCTTTGTATGTGAGGGTCAAAAATTGAATAAGAGGCTGTTAATGGAGCCGAGTGGGAGTTGTAGAGAAGGAAGGATGGGAATAGGATCTGCCTGAAGACTTTTTGTTTTAGCTTTGGCAGCGCTATGAAATGGAGCGAGGGATGAAAACCTGATCCTGTCATTTATTCTGAACTGTTTTGATTAATTAAAGTGGATGGCAGTAAATAGGCAGCTGAAAACTGGTGTCTTCTGAGCGGTGACCCCTCAAATTTGTGCTTCTGCTAGCAGTAAAATAACTAACTGATGCAGGATATTATGTCCTTGTGATGGAGATCAAGTGTATATATTTACTATACAAGGATCCTTCCCAATGAAATTGTCTAAGATGTAGAAAAGTGACTTGCTTTGAAATTAAACTGATACTGTGCTAATGTAGAACTTAAATTTCCAGACCTTTTAAAGCTAAATCCTGGCTATTTGAGGTAAAGTGCAACAGTGTGCAACAAATTCTGGGGTTGTTGCTTGCTGTGCTTGCTGTCTAGCAACAGTCTCTTGCGACTGTTTTTTTGATCACACTCAAAAGTAACTTTTGGTCTCCATAATTAATATAAAATATTTTCTTTTTTATTTTCCTCTTTATTTTCCTCTAGAAAAATAATAATAAGCATAAGCAATGTGCCTGTTAAATAGCAAGGTAACTTGTACGATCAACAGAAAATGGATTTTTTATTCCTTTACAGAACAGGCACATGGGACTCTGCTTTTACTTTCCCTATACATGCACATACATATTTATTTATTTTTTACTTTATTTTAAGGATTGGACCTATCCCATGAGGAGAGAGATGCAGGTAAGGCACATTTTGTTTTTTGCTGAAATATAGGATAAGCTTTTTAGATGTACCTGATGTTAACGATGGGGAAATAACTGGTTAAAGATGACTGTTTTCCTAGTAGGAATGTAAAGCCAGCAGTCGCCCTGCCTGCGTGTCAGGTAACAAGTTCCCTTGAAGCCCACGTTTGTCCTGAGGCTGAGCAAGGTGTGGCAATCTAACCTGAGCCTAATCCAAGGAAAGGACCTAATTTCTATTCCAAAATAAGATCTCCTGCACAAAGATCCTGTTTCTTTTATTCTGCCAAACAGATTTTCCCTTTCCGTGTTATAAATGACACTTGAGATCATGTCTCTCACTAACATGTAAATTACTTGTTTCCATGGGCCAAGGCTGGGCTGAGTGCAATGTATTATTTTAAATAGTTCTGAGTTGGTATTAAATGTCTGTTTTGTCCCTGCTCTAGGAAATTTTACCTGGGCTATTTTTAGGCCCATATTCTTCAGCTATGAAAAGCAAGGTAGGATTTTATTTATTTATTTATTTTCAGAACAGTCTCTCATAAGGACACTTGGCTTTCACGATTTGTTATGGTGGGGAATATATTGGAGCATTTGCAAGTATCTCTCTACAATCCTCTACCTTCTTTCATTTTCCATTTCAAAGTAATAAATTGTGCAATTGTGGGATGGTTCCTTTAGTCTGAAGGATACCTGGGCCAAGTGTCTCTACCTCCCTCTTTCCAGAGTGGGTCTGAACTACCCCATCACTCAATTGTGTGTTGGGGCACTTTTTCTTAACAATCATGAGAGCTAGAGAGTATTTTAGGGGAGGAAAATAATAACAATAATAATAAAAAGAACCCTGATTGATTGTCATGTGGCTTGATAAGATACTTGCACACACACTCTAGCGGGTCAGCTTTGCCTTTTACATACAAACTGAAATATTGCAGGGTTGAAATGGCTTCTGTACTAATTGCAGTGAGCATTTATGTTTTAGTTTTTGTATCAAAATCCTAAATTTTTTATTTGATCTTAACGATTTTTTTTCTTAGAAAAAGATGTACTCCTGAGGTTTGAACACTGCTGGTGCAGGCAGTCTGTTTCTTTTAGGGAAAGTGTTGCATCAAAGCTGGGAAGTTACATTAGTGTAGAAAAACAAGGTAAATAGCAGTGTTTGACTTCACTGGAGATGCAAAGAAAAGGGCCGTATATACAAGTCTGCATCATAGTCTAAATGATCTGACCTTCAGTGGTCTGACTCCTGCAAGAATCCGATGCTAGCTGGAAATTCCTGCAGCAAGCAGGAACTTGCAAATTCAGGAGAACTGAGGTGTGGGCAGGCAAACAAGTTTGCTAAATGTCGCTTTTGTTGCATGTTTTTTTCGTTAGAAATATTATTTTTTTCTTGTAACTCCTAGTGGTTCCACTTTGTGTTTTTTGAAAGACAAAATAGTTTCTTGTTTTGTGATATTCAAAGCACAGCACTAACCCTAATTTTCTGTGGGGACTTCATCTATTCCCATTGTATATTTAAGTGTAACTTTTCTTTTTATTTTTCTGTAATTAAGTGGATTCTATAGTTAAATCTGACTTCTTTTTTTCCCCTCCAGCTACCTATACTTCAGAAACATGGAATAACCCATGTAATATGCATACGGCAAAACATTGAAGCAAATTTTATCAAACCGAACTTCCAACAGTTATTTAGGTAAGAAATGAACATAACATTCAAAACTGTAAACAATGAACATCTTTCTTTTAAGGCTTGTTTCGTGTTAAGAAGATGTTTTTATTTTTTGCTAGTGTTTGTCCCAGGTATTTTCATGTCAAAATTGCTGAATTGTTTGCAGAAAAAAAAAAATCTTAAACCCAAACCATAAAGTATGTTCATCCTGCTTAATTCTGGACATGAAGGAGTCCACAAATGAGAAATATCCATTAGTTTATAGTAGTTGTCTTCACTCATGAAGTTGTTAGCTCTGAGTACAGTTTTCCTGTGAGTAGTTAAAAGCACTTGGCACTAACGTGTTCAGAAAATATATACTGAAAAAGCTGCCAGAAAGGCCCTGGAAAAGAATATTGGCCTGTGCTTACATATTGATGTTGGGGCTGTGAGTATGTAATATATTACTTAAAAATAGAGGTGGGCTCTGGATTTTTGGGAGGGGTCCTGGGGACTGTACTCGTGTGTTTGTCACAGCTCAGGGGGTGGCTTCTTGCTTTTGGAGCCCAGCCTGGAAAGCGAAGCCATGTGGACAGTGGTGACTTCCTTATTCCTGCTTGAATCCTGGGGCAGGACGGGATCATGTGCACACCTGGATGTGGTGGCAACGATCAGCAGTGGTGTGTGCTCAGAATAATTGTTCTCGTTGCAGATATTTAGTCTTGGATATTGCAGATAATCCAGTGGAAAACATAATACGATTTTTCCCGATGGTAAGTGTTTATGTATTAATGTGAATATATTGGGAGTGAAGTTGTCCAGTAAGATTTTTCTGAAAGGACAGGTAGGAAATTTCAAATCTGGGATGGCCAAGGTGAGGCACTTCAGGAGTTCTCAGCTTTGCGTGTGCCTGTTAAGCAATGGGTGAGTTATCTCAACTCCACCTCATTTTCTGTGCTTGCAGGAGGAGGTATAAATTGTCTGAGTCCACAAGGCCATATTATTGTCTTTTTTTTTTCCTGAGTACTTAGTATTTTCATATCTTCAAAAAGAATTTTTTTTTTAAAGGTCGTAGAGGAATTCCAGTTATTTGGAAAGCCTCGACCTGTAGGAAAATTTATTTTCCCTTTTCCCCCAGTGGAAAATGGAAATTAGTTGATGAAATTTAAGCTTTACAGCACTGGAAACATGCATTTACTGTGGAGGACTTAAGTACTGTTTAAAAGAACTTTATTACACACCGAAATAAAAAACCTCTTCTGACCTCGCTGTATATATCAGAGGTGATTGTGTTTTTACTGCATGGAAAGGCAAACTGGTTGATGAACTCATCCCTCTTCTGCTCTCTGCACTTGCAAAACATCCTTTACAAGTCTTGCAGACACTAGCGTGGTAGTAGCTCTGTTTT